AGTATCATTCTGATTAGCGTGAAAACGCAAAATGAAAGCAAATGTAAAAAAATGTATTTTTTCTCAAAATATTAAAATTCATAGCCTTTTTGCAAGCCGAACTTTTTGAGAGTCATGTTTTCTTTCTTAGGAGATGCGGCAGTATATACATTGCACGTATATACATTCAAACCTGCAATACGAAGAACTTTGTGAATTAGGTGTCCAGAATTTAAGCATTGGATGTGATGATACTGCAAATTTATTCATCGCAATATTTTTCCGCAATATTATACTAATATTGGATTTTTTCATAATTTTCTTGAATATATGAAAACATAAGAAGGTATTGTAAGAAAGTAAAATCCTACTGGTCTTTCTTGTTATTCCATTTTGCATTATTTTATATCATAATAATTGTATAATATTTACGCATTTCATTGTTTAAATTCGCCGTTTTACATTCCTATATTTTTTATTTTTATATTGATCTTCAATATCATAATCATATCATGTATAAATTTGTATTCTTCCTTAATCCCTATTCTTCTTTAATTCCTATTTTTTTTTTTTTTTTTTTTTTTTTTTTTTTTTTTATTAACAACTCTGTTTAAAGGCAATTTGTACATACATGTTATATATATTAATGAATATTAATAAAAAATTGATTTTTAAAATGTATAAATATCTTATAAGAAATTTTCAAATATTGGTATATAATCAATATTTATTATTTGAATTATTGATAACATTTATCTTTCTACGTATATAATGGACTTGATCGAATTTTGCGGTAAGTAAATTTAATATTAAATTAAATTAATAATTTATAATATATATATAAAATAATATATAAAGTATATATAAAATCAAAATATGAAAAGATGAGCAAAGAAAGTACGATAAATAACTATTAATTAAAAAAAAATATAATTCTCTAATAAATATTATACAACATTATACATCATACAAATATTATACATTATACAATAAATATTATCTAATGTGTAAATGATTAAATAATTAATATAATTATACATAAATTATACTTGGTTAAATGATAACTATATTGCAAGTTTGAAAATATTTTGACATTATTTTATGTATGTATGTATATATATATATATATATATATATGTGTAAAACAGTGATATTATTCATTCGAACTATATAACATAAAAATATAATAGTTTTTTTTTTAAATTTTCATTTTGATTAAAAATTTATTCTTTTAAATTTCTTATTATATAAAATTTTTATAAATGACCTAATTTGTAAGTAAAATTTGTAGTAAAATAAAAGTTCAAAAAAGAAAAAAGTAATGATAAAAGAAAAAAAAATAATGTATATTATAAGCTATTATTGAATCGATTTTATGATGAAAAAAATGTATATAAATATGAAATAATACTTAATATGCATTAAATATCAGTCTTTTATAAATTAGCTTATTTAATAATAATTCAATATTGTATTCATATTTATTTGATAATTATATAATTTTCATTTTAATGAAAATCAATATGATTATGTCAATCAATATGATGATTCTTAAATTTTTAAATTTATATTCAATAATTTGTATTAATATTCATCGAATTTTCATACACGCACACACATCCGCGCGTACATACACTATAAATAATAAAATATAAATAATAAATATAAAATATAGTATAAGTAATAAATATAATAATATTCAATTGATCTATAAAAAGTAATTACTATTATTGTTTAATATAATATTTTAATATAAACATGATATTATGTGCACGTGATATCTTTCGATTTTGCAACAGCAAGTAAGAAATATTTCTGTTGCGGAGTAGTGGCATATCGTTTACATTCATATGTTGCAAATTATTTCTTGAAATTTACTAAAATAGTAACAAATGGCGTTAGACTTACGGTATGATAATTTGTAATATTATGATAATTTTGATTTTTTATTTTAATTAGAATTAAAAATATTTTAATTCAAAATAGAGGTTATATTAAAGTATGTTTCACATGTACATGTTTGATTATATCTTTATAAGTATATTAATTTTTATCTTTTGAATTTCATTAAAAATTGAGATGAAAATAATATGTTGTTTTTAATAATATATGTAATTAGTTTATATCTTTCAAATTTATATATAACTAAAATATATTGTGATTGGAAAAATGTAGATAGGTTATATGATAGACAAATTCTTACTATGAGTATACTTAAATTTTTTTTTTTTTTAACATAGAAACTCATATTTAGAAAGAATGATAAAAAAAAAATATGTGCATATATTTATATATCTAAATCAATTTATTTTGAATATAAAATAATCATATTTGTAATGTGTTCTAATAAAACCTATTTATTTTACATGTGATCAAAATAATTTTACAATATTTCAGGGAGGGTATTCTATTAGGTATGGGTAATCCTCTTCTTGATATCTCAGCAACTGTAGATAGCAATTTTTTAAAAAAATATGATTTAAATGCAAATGATGCAATTCTTGCTGAAGAAAAACACAAACCCATGTACGATGAATTAATTGAATTGTATAAAGCAGATTTTATCGCTGGTGGTTCTGTACAAAATACTATGCGAGTAGCACAAGTAAAGTTAATTTACATTGTTCTTATAAATATATATATATATATATATATATATTGATATTTTTATAATTTAACATTATTTATATAATCATATATAGAATAATGTTAATGTTATATTAAATAATGTTAAATTATTAGAAATATCAAGTATGAAATATTCTGCAGTGGTTCCTGGGGAAACCAAATATTGCAACTTACATGGGTTGTGTTGGGATGGACAAGTACTCAAAAATTTTAGAGGATAGAGCACGTGCAGATGGCTTAAATGTTCGTTATCAATATACACAAAAAGAACCTACCGGTACTTGTGCAGTTCTTATTACAGGAAATGAACGTTCCTTGTGTGCCAATTTGGCTGCAGCTACATGTTTTTCACTTTCACACATAGAAGAAACTGAAAATAAAAATCTTATTGAAATTGCTGAATATATTTATGTTTCTGTATGTATAATGTAAAATATTTCTAATGTTTTTATATTATTATCTATCGAATATTATTGAATGTTGAATTTTAGGGTTTTTTCTTAACTGTAAGCCCAGAAACAATTCAAGTAATTGCTAAACATGCTTTTGAAAAAAATAAAATTTTTATAATGAATCTTAGTGCACCATTTTTATGCGAATATTATAAAAAACCAATGTTGGCAGCTCTTCCTTATGTTGATATCTTATTTGGTAATGAAGTGGAAGCTGATGCATTTGCAAAAGCAAATGATTTTCAAACTACAAATAGAAAGGAAATTGCTTTAAAATTATCACAAATGGAAAAGATTAATAGAAAAAGGCAAAGAATTGTTATAATAACCCAAGGTCCTGACAATATATTAGTTGTAAAAGATAATATTATAATGGAATTTGCCGCTATGAGACTTCCAGAAGAAAAAGTTGTAGATACTAATGGAGCAGGTGATGCATTTGTTGGAGGTATATTTTTTTTTATATAATTACATCATATGACATTAAAACTAATTTATATATTAATTAATATATGTAATTTTTTCAAAAAATTATCATATATTATATTATTTTCAGGTTTTTTAGCTCAATTTGTTCAAGGTAGAAGTATAGAAGTTTGTGTGAGATGTGGAATTTGGGCTGCAACTCAAATTTTACAGAGATCTGGATGTACTTACGAAGGGAAACCTAATTTTACTCCTTGACAATGCTTAAATCAATTAGTTAATTATAAATTCTGTACTTATACACACATACACACATATATATGGGTGTGTGCTTGTTTTTTTGTTTGTTTGTTTATGTATATATATATAATTTATATAATATATATATAATTATACAATCAAAATGTATAATATGTATATATGTATTTATATATACATATAATAATATGTATATGTATATATGTATATATATATATGTATAATAAATATTTTATCAACTTTTTTACCTTGATTTTTGTTTAATTTAACAAATTAATTTATCGAGTGAATATTCTTCATACTCTTAAAATTTTCATTCTACCGATTAATAATAAATATGGATAATAAAAATAAGAAAACGAGCGATATAATAAAATTTGGAATTAAATACAAAATAAATTATCAGCATTGTTATTAATTACAGACAATTTTTAATAATATTAATTGATTAATATCTTGTAACTGAAAAAAATAAATATTAAATTCATATGAAGAATAATTTTAATAAGATAGATATATTAATAAAAGAACTTAATGATTTAATTAATGTTAATTTGTTTATATTTTATGATATTAGTAATTCTTCGTTAAGATGATAAAGTAACAAATAATTGATACAATATTAAATTATTTTATTCGAAGATTATGTTATTTACAACTAATTCATCTAAAATATAATATAATAAATATACATGCAATCACCTTCGCACAATAATTTTTTCAATATTATTATGAAATATGAATTTCTTAAAGTGATCAGAGAATGATGGCGCAATATGCTTGCGTCGGATAATAGATATAGTACATGCATACGTGTAGATAAAAAATTATAAAGCAGATCAAAAAAGAATGGATGTGATATTTGAAAAAATTGTTTCTTTAGGAATTGTATAATATGTATTCTATTCATATAATTAAATGGACGAAATAATATATTTATTATGAAGAAGATAGAAATCTTATATTTTTTCCGAATTTTTTTCTATCGAAATTTTCTATCAAATTTTTCAAATTATAATTTTTAATATATTTTTAAATTCATTTTTTAAGTGAAAATTAATTATTATATTTTTTGAATTTATTTTATGTATAAATTGATAAAAATTATATTAAAAAAATATTTGAAAGAAAAATATTATTAAATGTCTCGATAATTTCATGAAAAGAGAAAAAAAAAGAGAAACAATAGTTTATATAAAATGATATTATAATAAAACGAAATGTTAATATTTATAGGTACATGGTTCAAAAGCAGAAAGATACGATCCTGAAAACTCGTTGACAAAGCTTCTGTACAGCGTCATATAACAGATGCGCGTGTGTGATGTGAAGAACTGATTGGGAATGGTCAAAGTGATCGCAAAGCAAATGACGGCCATAGTGAAGGTAAGAAGTATGATTAAAGAAATGACAAACTGCATATATAAATATTGGATATTTTTAATAATAATAGCAATTATTAATTTAATTTTTAACATACGCTTTTATTATACTATATACTCCCGCGCTTTAAATGTTTTATTCCAGATATCCCATAAGATACAATGTAGATATACAAAAATAATGCGCATGTGTGCGCGCGCGCCAGAAACGAACGAAAAGCGAGGCACGTGTGACCGGTAATGAGAGTGTACGAGTTAAAGTAAACGGTTTGATTGGTCGACGAAAACGTGTGTCCCTACGACTGTTTCGTGATTTCGCCGTAACTGTGAGCGCGGTGTGCGCAGTGCGCTCCCCACCGCGTGCGCGCAGTGTGTAACCCCCGCGACCGCCATCTTTGTCAAGTGGGTAACCTTTGTTGATTTGTGTGAAATGTGACGCCGTTGTTGCGAGATAATTAGTGATCGTGATTGAATATCCTGTGTACGAGTATCTAGTGATCTATGTGGATTTCACTGTGGATTTATACATGGAATTACTAGGATCAGGTAAAGCAATTAGTCTTTCGTTATACCTTGCAAGAGAACCACGCGAATTATCATCGGACGCATACGGGCTAACGGGTCGGGCCGCCAGTTCGTGAAAGAGTGAGAGGGAGAGAGAGTGAGTGTACAATAGAGTGCAAAAGAGAGAGGAAGATAATTTTCTATACGCAGTGTTTCTCCTTACTTGTTCTCGATAATTTTTTTTGTATTATGGTCGAACAAATGTATTATCGAATGAAATTAACTTGTCAGACATTCCTTCGTAAGAATAAACAGTATGATGTTGTAATTAAAAGATTATTCTTGCGCGCGAAAAATTGTGCGAAACAGCGGAGAGTTGACCGTGCCTACCCAAGATGGCTGCCCGTCGGGCTTCGAGAAATTTGTGTCCTTATTGTCTACTTGGACACGTAATTGAATCGTTTTATATTTTTCTTAATTGTTATTGTGCACAAAATATCTAAGCAAGAAGTATGGAAAATTTAGTGTTTTAATATAATTACGATTAATTGTTAGATGATAGACAGTAGCATTAGCTGTGACTTTATGGGCGACGGCCGTCGCGATTACGTTTACTAGTTATACAAAGTGTTTTTTTTACAAGAAACGTGATTTGTAACAATTTGTAAGAGTTATTTCTACTTGAAAAACATCAGACAAGATTTTCGATTTGCATGGAAGTACGTGTTTCAAGTTAAAATTATAAATTGGCTATGATTAAGATTAAAATGGCTACCGACGGTAACCAGTTGGTGATTATTAGCAAACATATTTTTCAGGTGAAATTATTTTTTCTTAACCTTTTTATATATTCGTAATAAAAAATTTTGAAATTAATTTTCTAATATGTAATTTTGAGTAAATGTTTGTTAATAATAATATATATATATAGATTTTTTAAAATATTAATTAAAAAAAACATATGTAAAAACGAAATATAACGAACGAGGATCGAGTAATCAGAACTAACAAATACCAAGTCAGCAGTAGTAGAAACCATTCAGTAACCGTCCGTTTTCTCAGTGGCAGCTGCTCTCTCTGTTGCCATCCTTTCTTTTACCTCTCCGTCGGATGAGAAAGGCCCCAGCAAACAGAGTCAGTCGGCCTGACTACTAGCTGTCCTTCTTTCTCATTATACTATATACTATATATTTCGTGTATCGTAAACGGACATGATAGATAAATTGGATAGAAAATATTTTCGTTCAATCAATATATTCGACTTTTTCTAAAAATGGAATGAATTAGAAAAAAATTATATTTATAAAGAAGTATTGAATATTGAAATGTCGTGGAAAAGATTTATAGATAATAGTTCATCGATTTTCAACAGAAAATTCTGACTGTATAGTGCATTCATTCGCTTGTCTCTTCTCTTTCTCCCACTCTTTTTCCCTTTGCTCGATCCTATGCGAGGTTTCCGTATATGTTCCCTGTTTTCCATAATTGTTGGAAGCATGCCGATAATTGATTGATTAATAAAATTGAAATCAAATCTAATATTTACAATTTAAGTGGAAGAAAGATATAGATAAATAATTTTTTATTTATCATATTATGATTTGCCTTTTATGCCATTTTCTTATATATATATATATATATATATATATATATATATATTCTACCTAACTCATACATATATAGTTATTTTCCAAAATTTTAAATCAATGATGCATATATGTTTTATACGAAGATTAATCATATTATAAAATATGTTTTTAAAATATGTCCAATTTCCATTCATAAATAAGGAATATTAAGTTCACTAGATTTATCAATCGATTCATTTATTATACGCTTAATCAATCATTGATTGTTAATGTACGAATAATAATTGCAATATGAGAATGCTTAATAATAGAATATTTGCTATATTTATCAGAGAAATTAAATATAACGTTGATAACTTTATAGATTAATCAATATAAACAATGTTGCATTATTGCTTATTCTAAATAAATTGTTTCACTTTTTAAGTAATATAATTGTTTTTTTGTTTCTTTATCCATCAATCGTATACTAAATTCATTTAGAATTATTATGAATTATTAATATATGATCATAGTATAGAGACAGATAATATATCTTTTTTCCATATATATATATATATATATATATATAAGTATTTATTAGAACGCGAATAAATGGAAATTTGATAATTGATTTTGAACAGAGAATCAATACTACAAAAAGAAAAACTGAAAAATTACTCGTTATATAATTCCTTGCCGATTTATTTTAAAAATCCATATTATTATGAAATTTATATATACATATACAATCAATGTTTATACAATTTATGTAGTAAATCACATATTAACAGGTTATTTTATGTCATGCAATGTCGATATATATGTAATGATTTAAAATGTCTTTTTATTCTCTTCTTATTTTATAATATTTTAGAAATCTTATAATTTTATAAATCCCAATTTATAAATCTTCTCATTTTCTCATTTTTCTATCTTTTTTCTCCTATATTGTTATTTATGAATCGTTACAATTTCTCATATATTCTTCTTTTCTTTACATCTTTTTTCTTTGCTCTCTCTCTCTCTCTCTCTCTCTCTCTCTCTCTCTCTCTCTCTCTCTGTCTGTGTGTGTGTGTGTGTGTGTGTGTGTGTGTGTGTGTGTGTGTGCGCGTGTGCGTGTGCGTGTGCGTGTGCGTGCGTGCGTGCGTGCGTGGATATCGGGTTTGCTTAAGCGAGGAGAAAGTTTGCCGTTTAGAAGAAAATCGGTCAATCGATTGATAATAATTTAAAAAATGGAATAGTTTAAATGGTTTCATGATAAGTGATACACATAATAGATTCAATATCGAATCCAGGATGTTTATGGATAAATTAAAGAGAGAATCTTAGTTAAATCTAATTAATTGGAAAATAAGTTTTCTATATATAATATTTTTCATTCAAAAAATTTTCAATTTCCAGTCGAATTTTGTTCAAATAATTGTTCATAATTTATATATTGGAGCCAATAATATTATCGCATATAGCAATCGAACATGGCAGTTTACGACTAATAAAATATGGATATGTAACTATTCTGATGCATATCTATATTATATGTAAATTAGTGAAGAGAGAGGAGGATGGGGAAAAAGAACAGGAAGAAAGATATTAATTCGTCATGTGTATTTACTGATTTTAGGATCAGCATAAGAAATATAATGTGACCTTGGAATGGAGATGTAAAGCAACTCGTACGAAATCCTGCATGCTAAAGGCGCAGAATGTGAGTGTCATAAGCTCTGCTCGTAAAAATTAACTCGTAGACAGTCGAGCATTGTTCATCGGGTGTGTATAACCTGGCCTGGTACGTGATTGTCGTCGCCGGTGTCGCCGCCGCCGCTTTCGTCGGCAGACGGCCGACGGAGACGAGAAATGGACGAACCCGAGTCCGCTGACACGTGGTCGGCCTGGTTCCTGGACGCGATCCGAAAAATACGCAGCCAGAAACAGAGGCCGAGTGTCGAGCGGATATGTCACGCGATTCGACAACACCATAATTATCACGAGGAGGAAATCGCTGAACACCTGGAAGTTGCTGTAAAACGTGGCGATGTGCTCAAGATCTTTAATAAAGGACAATCCTCGTACAAAGATCCTGGTGGATTGCAGTCGAAACCGCTCAAGGTTGGCAAGGCCTCCGATCTTAGTAAAGTACTGGGTAAGGCTGTTAGAGAATTGGGAGAAAGGGAGGGATCAACCCTGAAGAACATCGAAAAATATATCAGACAAAGTCATACAGTTGAGGAAGAAGCGGAAGGTGATTTGAGAACAGCGCTTAGACTATCTGCTAAAAGAGCAGTCGATCGAGGACTTGTGATTCAGGATGGTAGACTTTTTCGGCAACCGGATAGGCCACCTTATCTTAAGAAACATGGAGAAAACGCTCATATTGTGCCACCGGAGCCCCCTGTACATAAGGTGAGTTTGACTTTTTTCATTATTTGTTAATTATACGTTATGTTCAGTATCTTTGATTTTTTTTTTTTTTTTTTTTTAATTTGTTAATCAGATTTTATACATATATATTTCGTTAAAAATTTGACAATTCGTTTTCTTTTAATAAAATGATAATTATCGAATTGTTATTAACTGATAATGATTTGACATTCGTTTTTTTCGTATATACGCGTATATGCATATATATGCGCGCACGCGCGTATCTGTAGGATTAAAATTTACGCGTTGGAGATTCATCGCATGTGACGAAGCAAATTATAAATATAAGATATTTGCTTCTTTTTTCCTCTGCTTGTTTTATAGTTGAAATTATTTTTACGCTACATCTTATCAAGTAACAATATGCGTCAACGCATGTATTAAGAAAATAAAGAATCTAGAATATTATCTTTTTGGATTATTAATGTAGATAAAATAAGAAAAAAAAATATTAAAAAAAGAATTTTAAATATATATTTTTGTTTTTAAACAAATTATGAAAAAAAGAGATATAACTGTTGTAAAAATATTAATATATCATTATATATCATTATATATCACTCACTTAAAACATCGATACAATCGTACGTATATACGCAATATACATAAGTACTATAGAGCTATTGATTCGCATCAGATTCATAATTGAATTTGTTTAACTTGCGCATCTTTCTATACATTATCGTTATCTTTCAATACAAACATATCATTAATCGATTATTAAGTTCAATAAGAAGCGTTCACAGATGATTCAATTTTTTCATCGATCGTTTCACAGATAGATTAGCGTGTTAAACATTCGCAATATTTGCTTCTTTGCATTGGACAATATGCAATATACAATACAATATAATACATATACCCATATGCGAATTGGCAGCCACAATAACGGAATAAACGTTGTGCCACGGTATAAACAAGATATATTACAACATCATATATACGCCGTTTTAATTTACAAGGTAAAATAATTAAAATGTTGCGTTTAATTTGTTCGATTATTGTAAGTAGGATATAAATATATGTTTCATCACCCAAGTATTTATGTAATTGTTGCTTTAGTTTAATATCAATTCTCGAATTTGTTAATAATTCGTCATCCATATGCTCGATAGATCGTATTAACGTATTCCAAAGTTATGATTGTTATATTTAAAATTATTTTCGAAATGAAGTTGAATATTGACCGTTTTTTGTTGCAATACCTTTTTTGTAAATACAAATAAGATTTATTTCGTTATTCTATCTGTCGTTAATTAAATATACAATAAAAATTTAAGTCGACCAAAATATAGTTTGAGAAAGAATATATAAATGTAATTAATATAACATGTTTTCAAGATATTTATTAGACAAGCATATTCATAATCAATTGATAAAAATTAATACAGAAGAAAGATATACGATTATCATGAGAAAGAATAATGGTAAATTACGAAGAATATTATTGCATATAATTCATAAGATATTTACAGGAATCGAAAGAGGAAAATACATATTGCGTTATCGTTGCGATCCTATGTTCATAGTTAGGGAATCGTCACGGCATGTGCCCACGCCTCAAGATGGTTAGTCGCGGTTTCACGTTTGAGGGGAATTTGAATAGAGGAGCAAGACTCAGGACGATACGCTATCGCGGTCAACTTCCGGCGACTCGTTTGTATATCGCTTCTCTTATTGATCCTCCATGCACGTCTGTCTGTCTCTTTTCCTCTCATCTCACCCCTTTCCCTCTCTTCCATCGCATTCATTTCTCCTCTCTGTTCTCCTGCCGACCGCGTTTTATGCGTGTCAAGCCGCAGAGAGCACGGAAAGTCCGACGTTATCCAACGATCACGCCGGCGCGATCCTGCCAATCTCCCCTTTCCTCTGCTTGCTCACTGCCCCCACTCTTCTCTCATTCCTGTCCTTCCTTCTTGAATTCTCAACTTGTTCTCGATTTCGTTGCTCCGCGTCACTTAATATCTATTTGCATTTATATTATAATATATCTGACAAGTTACAATTTTTCAATTACAACTTTTTTTTTTCATTTTAATTTTTTTTCTCTAATTTTAAATTTTTTTGTAATTTTTTCTTATTTTTTCTCAAACGACAAATAATAAAATTAAATCATCGAACGATAACGTGTAATTAATTTTTATTAATTATATTATATTAGTTTAGCATTTATTATTATTATTTATATTATATTAGTTTCGCATTTGAAACGAACGCATTAACAGAAATCGTCACGATAAATATATACATTTAATCTATTAAATTTTTTTTTTAATTTTTTCCCAATGTAATAGATATATATACATAGGATAAAAAAGAATACATACATAAATGAATGCATAAATGAATATGCATATACTCGAGACGATAGATTTGAATATTGTTCTTCAATGTATTTACATATGTATAATATTAGTACTTGTTTCTTAAATCGATGATGTTATATTAAAATAAATTAAATTTGAATTCGCGTTCAAAGTTTAAAATTTACTTTTAAAGACAAAATGTAATCAAGATATTAGGGAAAATATTTTTTGTGCACACGAATATTGTTATCATATATTTTTTTCGGCGTTAAAAAATTGTTGATTCATCTATGAAGAAATATTAAAAAAAATCAAAGAAAAGGATAGGATTAGAGATAGATCGATCAGTCGTAAGTGTTAGTTGTAAGTAGTCGCTCGTCGAGCAACAGGTCGTTGTTTCGAGATAGGGATCATGATCATAGCTATCATTATTATTTATATTTCTTGCATGTTAAAATTGTTGATTTGTGATTTGTGAATATTACGATTGATCGGAATTAAATAAAAATATGGATTAATTGAAATAAATCGTAAAAAATAAAAATCATCGTTGTCCAGTCACTTGTCATACTTCTTTTCAACATTTCTCTACTTTGTTTATAATGGTATTCTTAGATTATTAAAATCATATCTTTAAAAAAGGATAAAAAGAAGAGTAAGAAAATATTTTTCGCAAAATTCGAAAACTATGAGGAAAAAACATCGAGAAGAATGTAATTTATTTTAATCATCTGATTTCATTCCATCGTTGTATAATAAGAAACACGAAAAAATATCTTGTTCGAAACTCGTGCAGATTATATACGTATAATATGGGAGATACAATATGGGATATATATATATATGCAATTATATTATTTTTATAATTATATAATTTTATATATTATGGATAAATATACCATATTATTATTAAATCGGATATATATCAAAATATATTATTCAATTCTGTTGCAGTTACCAGCTCCATTACCGATATGCAAAGAATGTCTTGGCGCGACGATAGCCGGAAATAATAATAATACAAAACGCAATGTTTCCGAAAAACTGAGCAGATGTAGTGTATGCGGTGCAGCTTTACATAATTCTTGCGCACCACCTGAACTTTCGAACCTTGTTGAAAGGGGTATAACGTGGTCTTGCGATGATTGCTCTCCAACGTGTGCCGGTTGCCAGTTAGAACGAGAATCACAGAATTATCTAGTGAAATGTTCCGGTTGCGTCAAATGTTATCATCCTACTTGTCTAGATCCAGCAATTGATAAAAAGAATAAAATACCCTGGAAATGTCGACACTGTCAAACACCGCATACACCGGTATCAAAAGATGATAATAAAAAGAATAAAACACAACAGGACACGGCAAGTTCGCTCGAAGAGACACCGACCAATGCAAGGAAGAGACTTAGCAAATTACGCGAGAATAGAAAGTAAGCAGAAATTTTTTAATGAATATTAATCGATCGATTAAATGTTATAATTAGTAATAATAATAATAATAATAATAATAATAATAATAATAATAATAATTATTATTATTATTATTATTATTATTATTATTATTATTATTATTATTATTATTATTAGAAACATAATATTGTAAGAAATCTTATGCAATATATATATATATATATATATATATAGATACATATATATGTATATATGTATTTTTATTTATTATATGACGTAGTACGTGATATTAAAACAATTTTAAAAAAATGAATCATGTTCGCTTTAATATATTCAGAAATATTTCTTCTTGACCGAAGAAATGAAAATGATGGAATTGAATTAAAACACGATTTTCGTATAACTTTTTTTTTTTACCAAATATCGATTAATCGAGTTAAATCTGATTATTGATTAAAATCAATTGAATCTATTCTAAAATCTACTCGCGATAAAAAGGCTAAATCTTTAGGCCGGAGCGAAGGAAAAAAAGAATTATCGATCGAAGGTCGATATAATTGAAACGGATAACACCTGTTTCAGATCCACGATATCGAGAAAGAGCCTGGCGATTTCAACTCCGGTGAAGAAAGCTGGCGCAGGAGTGGGACAGGTGGACAGCAGCTCGGACGGTAATGCGGGTGTTGTCTCCCCTCGTCAACCACCTTTGATTTCCTCTCCCTTACCACAACCCCCCACCCCACTCGCAGGCCAGGGTAGGCTACTTGAAGAAAAAAACGATCGGATTTCCAAAGAGAAGCAAAAATTTTTTAGACTGAGTGCGTTTAACGCGGAGCACAATAAATTGAAGCGGGTGGGGGGCAGTGAAAAATTAAAATGTTCTCAGAACGTTAGTCCTAGGTTAACTCGGGGAAACGCGAACCAAAAACAGCCCATATCCAGTAAAAAGGTACTGCTAATGTCTAGCAGTAGCAGCAGCAGCGACGCGACCGATACTGATTCTTCCGACGACACCAGTGATTCGACCGACGATGACGATGAAGAAGAGGAGGGAGCAGTCAGGGATGGGGTCAGGGAGGGGGGAGAAGAGGAAGAGGAGGTGGACGGTAATAACTCTAGCGCATCCAACGATTCGTCCACCTCGGAAGAAGACAATGACGACGACAACGATGACAACGACGACGACGATGACGATGAAGACGACGACGATGACGACGACGATGACGACGATGTCAATAACGACAATCGGAAAGAATGTTCTGTCGTTATTGGAGGTGGTAACGATGGCGGTGACAGTACTATTATCAATGCCTCTCCTAAACCGAGAGGTCCGTTTTCATGTGATTTAAACGAAGATAAACCTTGGGGTTTTGCCGCGGCCGCAGCTAAACTCAACATGGAATCGCCATTTTTTAGTAATATTACCAATACTTTTGGTGCACCGTTACCTAAACTCGATGTAACCAGTACATCGACATTCGGATTACATATACAACCGGTTATCAATTCGTTTGATGGAAAGAAAAAACAGAAAAGCAATAGGAATGGTAATGCTATATCGGAGAGTTTTAATAATGTGGACATAAACAAAATTAAACCTGGCACTGGTCAATTAAAAGGCCTATTCGATGGATTAAGTCACTTTTTTTCAGTACCTACTAACAGTAGAGTAAGATCCAGTGCTTTGACGCCTAATTATGCGCCTGATAGAAGAAAGCGGCCTAATTCGGATGATAGTGATAACAAGACCAATAAAGTTTTAAAAGGAGCGCAAATTAATAAGAATGATAATCTATCGTCTGATTTAGGCAAATTAAAAGAGAAAAAGAAGACAGAGATAAGGAACGATATAACGAGAATTCCTCGGCCTGGAATATTTACACCTTCTGATGAAACATTGTTTAGTTCTCTTAATGAAAAAATGCCAAAAATGACGCCGTCGAATTTAGTTAAAACCGCGGTTAATAGTAAGAGACACGAACACGAGAGAAGAAAGCTAATGAAAGATGATACGCCATTAGTAAAGTGTGCAACTGCGACAGATGCATCTTTACCGTCATTCCCATCACCGTTATTATCATCGTCATCGTCCTCGTCCTCGTCGTCCTCGTCGTCGTCGTCATCGTCGTCGTCATCGTCGTCGTCATCGTCGTCATCGTCGACATTTCCGTTACCATTACCGTTACCATTACCGTTATCGTTATCGTCACCCTTACCATTATCATTACCGTTACCGTTACCATCATCATTATCATCATCATCGTCGTCGTCATCGTCGTCGTCATCGTCGTCATCTTCGTCGTCGTCATCGTCGTCATCGTCGTCGCCATCATCATCGTCGTCGTCGTCGCCATCATCATCGTCGTCATCGTCATTATCATCATCATCACCGCCATCAGCATTACCGTTATCGTCGCTTTCGTCATCGTCATCGTCAATATCATCGTCATCATCATCATTGCCATCGATGTCAGCTCTTAGGCCCGATCAATCTTCGCGAAAGAAAAATATTCTTGTGGAAGTGAATCAAACACGCCACCCTGTGCCCGCTGTTTCGAGGTCCGGCCTGAGTTCTGATTCCGTGAAATCAAATCCCAGCCTAAAGTCCAATCCACGAGCCTGTACTAGCGCCACCACCACCAACACCACCACGACACCCCGCGCGACACCCTGCTCCACCAGGAAGGGTAAGAATCTACCCCACCCGTTCACGAATCCTAACCTCGATGATGCACCCAAGTCGCAAAGAAGAATTCCCTCTAATCTAATCCTCGCTCACCACCACGTGGATGTGTTGGCGGTGTGGTGTGGTATGATGTGTGTGTAAATGTACGTCTGTCGCAACTTATTTCAAGAAAACGTGATTGTTCTCTACTAACTGGGCCAAATTATTCCCATCGTTTAATTCGATATGTAATGTATTAAATAACAGTAACGATTAAATTAAACCATATGCGGATCAAGAACAATCAGGTTCCTTGATAGGACGTGTTGTTTATCGCTTATTTTATGATGTAAAACATGGAAATTTGTTTCATATAAAAATATAAATAATATTCTATTATATGGAAATTTGTGCCATATGTAACGCGTACGAATGCGTTCTTTTTATTTTGATTCATTTTCACATTATTTGCTATTCTATATATAATATTTCCATTCGTTTTACATTATGAAAACTCTTATATGATTATTGCATGTTCTAACTAATAACGCTGTTGTTTGGCTCTATATGTACTCTTTTTTTTTTTTCTTCTATATATTCATATAGTTATAAAATATATAATAATTAATGCACGTAGAATGCAAATACACTCAACTATTATTGGGTCGTACACATGATAATTTCGCTGTCGCACAATTTTTTTGTTTTACTTTTCATATCTAATTTAAACAATCTTTTACAGTTGTACAGCCAATGATATCTGTACAAAAAAATTTTAATCAGATATCTAAAATACCTATAATATCATTTTTTATCTATTATTGTTTTTTCATTATAATTATCGGATAATCATTGATTATTACACTAAGAAATTTTGAAATTAACCATTATTCGTAAACAGTTGAAGTATATGACACTTCAATCGAAATCGTACAAATTTCTCTCATCTCTTGATATCTTGATTTTACGAACAAAAGAAAAGAAAAAGAGAGAAAGAGAGAAAGAGAGAAAGAAAAAGGAAACAGAATTAAGAGATGCGTAACAAATTTATATAAACTTATATAAATCAGTTAACAGGACGAAGAAATATGGAATATCCTTTTACTCGATCACCTAATATTAATAATATCGAATTGTTGCTGCTGAAATTCAACATGCTCTTCTTATTAATATAATTGTTATAATAAATATCTTCTACCATAAAGTTCCAGCAAAAAGCATTTTATAAAGAAAGAAAGATATAAGAACGAAAGAAATTGCAAATACAAGGAGAGAAATAAAAAAAAAAAAAAAAAAAAAAAAAAANNAAAAAAAAAAAAAAAAAAAAAAAAAAAAAAGAAAAAGAGAGAAACGAAAAGAAATAAAAGAAAAAAAAGGAAAAAAAGTTTTTTTTACCATTGAAGAGCCAACTTGATACTCTGCCAACACATCCCACAAAACCACACCTACCCTATAGCTTTGCTTTAGATACTACTCACCACGATATTAACAATAATAAGCTAATCGATTGTTATCGCACACGGTTTTATTATTGAAAATTATTTGCACAAATTAATATTTACGCTTTGCGACGATGATTCCGTTTCTTTAGTGGATATATTTTTCTTTTTTTTTTTTTTTTTTTTTTTTTTTTTTTTTTTTTTTTTTTTTTTTTTTTTTTTTTTTTCTCTCTCTCTTCTTTCTTGTCCTTCCCTCCTCCCTCCCTCCTTTTCCATCCTATTTCTGACGAGTTGAATGGAGTATATTTTGTATTTTAATACGAAACACTTTCATATCGGTAAATTATCGTAATATTTTGTAAATTTTATGTTTGCCCATTTTATTTATTCCGAAGTATTCTATTGTTGGTATCGTATCGAAATTATTACATATTTTTTTTGTCTTGATAACAAGAAAATTTGTCTGCATTGCAAGTTATTCTGCGAATTTAATGTTTTTTTTTTTTTTTGTGGTAAACAAGTATGAGAAATTGGAAAAATTAACATGGACTAATTAATCTATTGAGAAAAATAATTATTTTCTTTATTCTGTTCAATTAGAAGAATAACGAAACGAATGACGAGCATAAAAAAAAAACTAATTTGTTACATTTGTTTACAGAGGAACCAATTCTACCTCAATCTCTACCGCCGGGTGTCACACAAAAGGATGTTGATCTGTTTAAAGAAGCCCGGGATAGAGCAGCTCGATTAACTACTGTGAACGATACCGAGGAAACTGTGACAGTGAATCCAGGAAACAATACGAGCAATACGGGAAATACTGGGAATGGCATTAGGAATCCCGCGGCCATAGTTTTTGGTCGATATGAAGTAGAGACATGGTATTCCAGTCCATTTCCTCAAGAATACGCAAGATTACCTAAATTATTCTTCTGTGAATTCTGTTTAAAATATACAAAAAGTCGGGCCGTACTTGACAGGCATATGGATAAATGTCAATGGAGGCATCCACCGGCTACTGAAATCTACAGATGTGACGGATTATCTGTTTTTGAGGTATAATTTGCAAACGATATCATTTTCTGTTTATCGCGCAGACGAAATTACGAATCAAATAAAAATTCGTTGTTGTTATATTTCAGATCGATGGAAATGTGAACAAGATATATTGTCAAAATTTGTGTCTATTAGCGAAATTATTCTTGGATCATAAGACGCTGTACTACGATGTAGAACCATTTTTATTTTACGCAGTAACAAAAAACGATAAATATGGTTGTCATTTAGTTGGTTATTTCAGCAAAGAGAAACATTGTCCCGCGCAAAGATACAACGTGTCATGTATCATGACTTTACCGCAATATCAAAGACAAGGATTCGGAAGGTTCTTGATTGAATTCAGTTATCTACTGTCTAAAGTGGAAGGAATCCCTGGGACGCCGGAGAAACCACTTTCCGATCTTGGCCGAGTATCGTATCATTCATTTTGGAAAAGCGTGGTACTTGAATATCTCGATGCTCATAGAGATTCAACGGATATTAAATTAGGAGATATAACAAAGGAAACTGGTGTGTCAGCTCACGATATCGCAACTGCTATGCAATTGCTGGGATTTGTTAGATCGGTCCATTTACCGGGAGAGGGAAATTCTAAAGTAGCTGTGGTAGTCGATTGGAATAAAGTGGATGCTCATATGGCGAAAGTACGAAAGAGTTCCCGTATCAAATTAGATCCTGATTGTCTTAGATGGATACCATTGCTCACGCAAATTCCTAATCCATATCAAAGTCCGGAAGAAAGCGGTGATACCAGTTCCGAATCTTCTCCCGTCGTGGAACCGAAACACGTACCAACTATAGTTGAAAAAATTCAAAAGGTAAAGATTAAAAAGAAACCGAGGAGTAGAAGATTAGGACAGAGAAGATCTTCGCCGTTGAAACAGAAAACGGGCCAGAAATCTTCCACGCAAAGAGATTCTTTTACCAAAGATGCGAAAGAACCAAAAGAAATAAAAGCAACAAAAGAAGCGAAGGAAGCAAAGGAATCGAACGAAACGAAAGAAGCAAATAAAGATACGGAAAAAAGGAATCGAAATGTTGTTGTCGCCACTGCATCGGTAGAAAATATTAAAGAACAGATGGTAGTAGAAGCAAAAAATGTTGCATCAACATCATCGAGAAATTCTCGAGCAATGGCTGTTTCAAAGAATACAAATCTGATAAATTCGACAAAAGCAACATCCTTATCAGCAACAGGATCAACAACGACAACGACAACGACAACAATTACGACAACCACCACCACGACCACTACCACCACCACCACTACAGTAGTAACGATGACTACAGCAACGACAACGATGTCGAGACGGAGAATCAGAACACCGAAGATATCTCGTTATGACGGAGAATCGGTAATAACATCGACAACGTCTATGCGAAAACGAAAACATTCCGAGAAACCAGAGATCGAAGAAAAAGAAGAAAAGTCTGAAGGCAGCTGTAGAAAAAGAACACGGGAATCTTTGCGAGAGAAAGAGAGAGATAAGGAACGAGAAAAGGAAAAAGAGAAAACGAAAGAACGGGATAAGCCAAAGGATAAAGATAGTTATTCAAAAGATAAAGAAAAGAACGATATAACTGAGATGGAAAAATTTTCTTCAAAAGCGATGGAACCGATAATGTCATCAGTAGTACAAAAACCGACGAAAAAGCAGTGCAAAGTCGATGATATTTTATTAAAAGTGACCAGTCGGCAAACTAAATGCTTACAAACGAAACAAGCGAAAGAAAAGAAACAAAACAGTTCGGAACAGAATCAGTGTAATGGAAAAGACGACACAAAAGATATTTTGAAAACTTTGCCAGTATCGAGACGGGGAAGGGCAAAAGTGGAGAAAGAAGCGTTAAAGATGCCGCAATTGAAACCGCAAACCCTTATAAAAGATCGATCCGAAAATCCTGTGATACTTCCACCATTGTTATCTCCATCATCATGTTCTGAAGAGAAGAACGATTCTATTTTAACGAGCAAGAGACAACAATCGTCTCCCGCCTTGAAACAATTATCGATAGTCTCTACGGAAAAAGAAATTGATAATACAACGGAAAAATTAGTTAATAGCAATAATAGTACACTGGAAAATGTCGATGGTGGTAATACTGATGTCTCAAAGAACGCTTCAGCCATTCTTCCGGAAACAGAAGTAACAATATCTGCTAGTCCAGGAGAATACGAAGGAGGAGACGAAGATGAAGGCGAAGAAGAAGTACCTGCACTTAAATCGAAATCCGTAACTCGCATGAAAAATGATTCAAACGAACGAACTGAAAATACAAAAGATAATGAACAAGAAAAGAAACTCGAGAATGTTGATATCATTCTCTCTTTACAAAAACCGAAATCGGAATCAGAATTATGTGTCATAGAAGAAGAGATACAGAGGGAAGGTGAGGGTGAAAACGGTGCGAATAAAGATGATGATGAGGGTGAAGGTGGAGCTGAAGGTGAAGATGAAGGCGAAAATGAGAATGAGAATGAAAATGAAAATGAAAATGAAAATGAAAATGAAAATGAGAATCAGAATGAAAATGAAAATGAAAATGAAAATGAAAACGAAAATGAAAATGAAAATGAAAATGAAAATGAAAATGAAAATGAAAACGAAAACGAAAATGAAGAAAACGAAAACGCAAACGAAAATGAAAATGAAAACGAAAACGAAAATGAAAAAGAAAACGAAAACGAAAACGAAAATGAAAACGAAAACGAAAATGAAAATGAAAATGAAAATGAAAATGAAAATGAAAACGGAAACGGAAACGGAAACGGAAACGGAAACGGAAACGGAAACGGAAACAGAAACGGAAACGAAAGCGAAAACGAACGTGAAGGAGCACAGGCAAAGAAAGGGAAAGAAAAACAAAATGAAGTTACGAAAGGAGAATTTGATAAAAATTTAGAGAAATCTGAAAAAGCAATGTGTAATTCAGAAACATCTAAATTGGTACCTGACCTCTCTTCGCCTAAAGAAGAAGAAATTGAAAAATTTAAAACTGTTGGTCAAGATGTAAATAGTTATAGACAAGTTGATGGAATTTCCGAAAGATTAATGTTAAAAAATTCGAAAGAAGAGTTGACGAGACCAAAGATAGAAACATGTTGTGCAACATCTATGGATAATAGAAAAGAATCATCTTCTGTGATTTCTAATATAGCATCACCCGAAACAGGACCACTTACTCCGCAAGAAAAAGTTTTGCCCGTTATCGAACAACAAGAAACTACTGTTCATCTTCAAACACACTCCGAAGAATTGAAACAAAATTCACCCGAAAGTGGTAAAACCACGCCACATTTGGATAATCCTGGTTCGGTAAAACGAACGCCTCCTTCGCAACCAGATTTACCATCTATGGGAGTTTACACACCTGATTCAACAACTAATTCAGTTCATTCGTTGCATTACGGTCATTGCGATTTAGACGTGAGTCAATTAGGACTAGAGTCTCCTACATCGATCGCAAGTGATCTTGCGTCGCAAAATAGCGTGGAAAGGCCACCTAGTGCATTACCCTCGATGCCAGCATCGGTTACGGTTCCAATTTCAGTACCTATGCAAATAACTCCGGTTACGTCCGCTGGTGTAAATATATCGCCGCAAGTACAATATACTGATTGTTCGATGCCTCAACATACTCCACCAACGCACGTTAATATCCATCCGATGCATCAGCCTCATACACCTCAACCTCTTCAGCAGCCGCGGACTCCGCAATCTCACACGCCTCAAAGTATACAAACGCAAAGTCCACAACCTATTCCGCAAAGTCATACACCGCAACCGTTACCTCAATCTCATACTCCGCAACCTCTTTCGCAATCTCATACACCGCAGAGTATACCGACCCAAAGTCCTCAACCGATGCGACAAAGTCATACACCGCAACCTTTGCCACCGTCTCACACACCGCAACCGATGCAATTATCTTTGACTCAACAAACGCAAAATCAAAGTATGGCGCATGGTCAAAATCAGCAACAATCTCAAGGACAACAACAATCTGCACATCAACAACAACAACAACAACAACAGCAATCGCAAACGCAATCTCATAGTAATAAAAGGGCTAGTGGTTCACAAACGACTCATAGATCTAGATCAACACAGCAAAGCCGATCCCATCGAACGACACCTCCTACGTCTCATGCTCAAGTTTCTTCGCAAGGTCACACCACTTCTCACACGAGTCATACAACCTCCCACACGAGCCATACGACGGTTGCACATACGACGCATGTACCTCCACAATATCAACAATCCTCGTCAATGAGTGTACCACCTGTTCCTCATCCGCATCCTCATTCTCACACGCATGCTGCTCATTCACACAATATGGCTGTTATTTCTCAAGGGAATTATATGGCTGTTGCTTCTCAAACTTTTCCAACGCAAAATACATATGTGATTCAACATCGAAGTAGCAGATCTGGTGCACCGACACCGTGTACTACAGCGACAAATTTTTATATTCAAACAAGCGCGATGCCACCGCATTCGCATACACCAGCACCTTCTCTCTCAGCTTCTGGAAATCATCAAACGACAAATTCGTGCAGTTTAGCAAAATTACAACAATTGACTAATGGATTAGAAATGATTCCTCCTACGCCTCCTCCAGCGATGAATTTAACGCCACCACCTCCTATACCGCATACTATGACACCACCGCAAACGTCGAGACAATTACCGACACCGCCTCAAGTACCTCTTGGTTATGCAAAAAATTATTATAATGTCAACACAGTACCACCTACTACTCCAGGACCACCCAGTAGATCAACCTCAAGATCATCAGCAAATGCAAATATGGCGTCTCTTGCACAACCATACCCAAGCGAGAGCTTATATCGTCAAACTCTCGATCCTGGAAGTACCTGTCCTCAAATGCAGAGCGCCGCTAGTAGAGTTAGTCCTAACGTGGCATTGAATACAAATCTAATGGCCCAATATGGTTATCGAGTAGCACAACCTGCTACCGGTTACATGAATCAAGCGGCTCAACTTGGTGGTTTCATGAATCAAGCCAGTCAATTGCCTGTTGGAGTCGTTAATGTACCTGCACCGTACCCTCAAGATCCGCATCAACAAAATCCAGCAGCAGTATATACAACGTATCACGGTTACATAAATGGAGGTCTCATGCAACCTCTGAATAGTTCGATGAGGCCACGTTAGCCCCAAACATCTAAGCGCACATTCTCTTACTTGCAATAACGACATTTCGATTAAAGAGAAGATTTTCACATATTGCGGTTCATCAATTTACAATGATTGTTTCATCTTGGCGATTAATGCTCTCTTCTATACGAACTCTGGTAAATGTTATCTACTAGAAAAATATTCTTTATTTTCTTGCATTTCGCTTCCATTTTTATTATTTGAAATGATTTTAATTCTAATAAGTAGATTTTTTTTATCTTTTCTCTTCGATTATTTAATTTTTTGAAATTATTTCATTTTATTATTATTCATCTTCTTCTTCTTCTTTTTTCTCTTCTTTTATATATTTAATCATTTTTAAATCTGTCGATATAAAAAGTTATAAATTCAGAATTTCAAATATCAAATAACAACAAATAACAATATAAACAAAGTAAACAGAAGCGTTTGCATAAATTAAAGAATTTGCGTTAAATGAATTTTTAATCGGTAAAAAAATAAAAATAATAATCTGCGCGTGTATAAGCGTGCAAATAGAAGAGGGCATATATGTACGAATTATAATCATAGTATCGAATAGTAAACTGCGAAACTTGGATTCGTAATTTGTGCATTTAAAACGATAAATTAATCTATTAAATGTGATCTGTCGATTATACACGCGTG